TCTCTGTCTATATGCCTATATGCATCTCTTTGCTTGTTATTACTGCCGATTTTGTATATTTTACCTAAAACTAGGGTTTGAGATTGTTACTCTTTCTTTTCTCGTATGGTACTGATACTTTCCTTATTCCCGTCAATCTACCATGCTTCTATTATTGCTTACCTTATTTGCCGTGAGACTGACTGTTAATTGTTATTTTCCTTATTCTAAGTGTTACTTGCCTGATTACACGTTATTATGCTCTGTTAACTTACTGAACTCTATACAATTGATTCTAGGTTTAATTTTCTTTCCTTATTTGTGTATGTTTGATTTCTTCCCTTATTTGTTTGCCTAATTGAATACTATTTAAACCCTTTCCCCTCTCCTCTTTGAGCAAGACCCGAACTCTATAGACTCTCACTAAAAATTTAGAGTTTTTGGTTCTATACTCTCTCTGTTCTCTCGCTTACTACTGGTCTTGGCCGGCTGAAATCCAAGGCCAAACTTCTGGACTCTCAACTTTGTGGTATTATTTTGGTTTTGCTCGCTTAACTGGTGAGTGACTATCCTTCGTCATACCTTTTTTTTATGTGTTCCTGATCTGTCTTTATAACCCAGCATGTCTAAGATCCCTCTCTAAGCATGATTCTGCCTATTTACATGCTTTTATTTTAATCCAATGGTTAACACTATTAATTTAGATTAGTTGTTTTGAATAATATGAATCCTCTTAAAAACTAGCCTAATGTTTAACTTGTCTATGCACACTGCTTGCTAATCCTGCACCTGTTCTGAACTTTGCATTTTTAGGGTACTATCAACATGTAACTAGTTAATCTATCCTAACTTTACAGATTAGTTACTTAATTCATATGCCCTGTCAATTTGTTGCTAACATGTCTGGTATCCCTCTGAATTCATGTGATAACCTGACTGTTTTGCCTAATTGCTTCTGTGATTAAATAAGGTTGTCCTAAATGCTAGCATTGAATACCTAGCTTAACTAGACTGTTAACCAGACTTCAGCTCATTTGAATTGTGTATTTGGGCATGAACCTTGCTTGTTTTATGGGTGCAAATTTTGTCTACAAGTTATATGTCTTAAACTTTTTTTTCTTCTAAATCAAAATTATTTAAATCTGTCTCTCTTTATATGCTATTGCTCTTTTAAAAACTTCCACTCTTAGTCCCTTAGGTTCTATCCTCAACCACCCCAGTGTGAGCACTGCTCAGGGTCCATGTCAGACTCATGTGAACTTTGACGCACTGGGAATTGGTTCCTAATCTCTTTTAAAACATTTCCGAGTGTGTGGTTCTGGTGTGTGCACTGCCCTGGGTCCCTTAGGCCCTCGGGAAATTTGACACATTGGAAGCCTGGTTCTACATGTGTTATGGGTGAGACATTCGTATTTGGCTATGCAATACCTATGAATTGAGCCTTGAAGTTGATTGGTGTGAAGGCCTGGTTCCCAGGTTTATTTGGGCCTAATGAAGGTTGCCTATAGTATCTTATTACTTTTATGTAACTTATTCATTATTTGATCTGTAATAACTTGGTAATAAACAGATTCTGGGGTATTTAGTAAAATCGGGAGGGGGGGGGGGGAGGGGTGGATTTCTTATTTCCTTTTGTTAAACTGGGTAGAAATTCTGCCTATAGGAATTCATCTATGCTATTAATTCTGCTCATTTGTCAAAACTGCTAAGTTCTGCTATGTGTTTGGAAACCATGCCTATAGGACTTTCATTGGTGATGTCAATTCTGCTTAAACTCGTACGAGTTTCATATGGTGTGTACATTAGAAATTCTGCCTATAGGATGTATCGATATGTGTTAGCAATCATGCCTATAGGACCCTCAATGTTTGATTCTATTGTTTGCTGGTAATGTGTACAATTTTTTCCCTTCTGCTGCTGGATAGATATCATGCCTGTAGGATTTAAATCAATTCAGTGATAGAGATCATGCCTATAGGATTTAAGTCAGTTCGACATTAGAAATCATGCTTATATGATTCTATTAATTGGTTCTGAATATAATCGCCACTGTCAATCACTTAGACAATATGCCTATACGACTTGATAATAATTCCGGATTCTGTAAGCATTACTGTTTGAAGTACCCAGGCGATATTCATTAAAACCAGTAGGCAAACAGTAGGTCCTAACACTCGCCTTAATGAAATTTTTTCTGTACATCTGTCTTCACACATAGATATCCTGCCTGTAGGATTTTAAGATCGATACAGATTGTTAATTAATTGCGTGCATTTGCTATTTATGTGCGGATGTTAACATGAGCCCATATTTGCTTTGTATTTGCAAGTCCTAACATGTTTTGTTTGTCGCCTAGTCTTTTACATTTTTTGAGCAACCCAGGCTTAGTCTAGAACTATCCCAAATATAGGTCCTAATACCTCCAGGGCCATAGGCAAGGGACGGGTAGTGCACGCATAGGAATCGAACTAGAATCAATTAGAGCACTTTAGGTAACAAATTAAAGATAGTAATCGGGTAGCAGGAGATGATAGCCTGTGCCCGCTGAATTATATGAGTAACACCCCGACTCGAGGGAGTTACGAAGTATTATTTATGTTGCACGGGGTGATCCTTTAGGCTAAAAAATTTAGGACCCCCCATCCCTATTAAATATTCCTCTTGCTTCTTTATTAGACTAATTCATAAATTTAGTTCAGCCGGGACCCACCGTTGTGGACCTCGAGAGGTGCCTAACACCTTCCCCTCAAGGTAATTTCGAGCCCTTAACCGATTTCTGGTGACGCAAACTGGTATAACATGAGTTATCTGCTCTAGGTGCCCTAACGCACCTTAATCCGTTAGGTGGCGACTCTAACCAATTCCTTTTTCCCTACCCTCTCAAAGGAGTCATCAAAATGTCGAAACCCGATTTCGCTAGAAAAAGAGGGTGCGATAATTAATATATACTTTATATATTCCGGCTAGAAAAAATAAATACAGTAAGCTATTTGTGTGAAAATCCCTTCTTTTCAGGTCGTCCAACCTAGTCCAGCCCATCTACTTCCCTAGCTACTTTGCAGATCTTTGGTTTTTGCTCATATGATTGGAACCAAGTCCATTCTGAAACAAACAAACAAACAACAATTAGTAAAAATTGCGTGGGGTAGCCACTTTTAAAAGTGATATTTACTTTTTATCCACCATTTTTAATGTTGAGCAAAAGTAGCCACTAGTCTATTAAAATTAATATAAAAAGACGGTGTTACCCTTTCTTCTATCTCTTTTCTGTCCATGTTATACCAATGTAAAGAACGTACAGCGATATTCCACAAAGTGTGACGACTGACGAATATGGCGACCACTCAAATTTTTTATATACAAATAAATAACAGTTAAAATTGTTCGATAGTAAAAGATTGGCAACTATAATAGCAAACCAAAAATAATAAATGTTTTAATCTTTTTTATAGAAGCATTATCAAGGACACTTGGTCCTTAACTTAGAGTTACAAGCACAGAAATTAAGGACATGTAGTCCTTAACTTAGAGTTACAAGCACAAAAATTAAGGACTGGTAGTCCTGAACTTCGGGTTCCAAGTTCAAAAGTTAAGGACATGCATGTAGTCCTGAACTTAGAGCTACAAGTTCAAAAGTTAAGGACAGGTAGTCATAAACTTAGAATTACAAGCTCATAAATTAAGGACAGCTAGTCCTGAACTTACAGTCACAAGCTCATAATTTAACGACACTTGATCCTGAACTTATAGTTTGAAGTTCAAAAATTAAGGACACTTGGTCCTTAACTTAGAGTTACAAGCATAGAAATTAAGGACAGGTAGTCCTGAACTTCGAGTTCCAAGTTCAAAAGTTAAGGACATGTAGCCTTGAACTTAGAGTTACAAGTTCAAAAGTTAAGGACATGTAGTCCTAAACTTAGACTTACAAGCTCATAAACTAAGGACAGTTAGTCCTGAACTTACAGTAACAAGCTCAGAAGTTAAGGACACTTGGTCCTGAACTTTATGAGCAGAAGGGTATTTTCGTCCGGACGGGTAAAAATTTATTAAAGCAATGGCTAAACACTAAAGACATTTTAAATAGTGGCTTAAAAGTAAATACATATCTTATTATTACTGGCTAACTGTGCACTTTCAATCCCAAACCAGTTATATGAATCTTCATAAATCATATTCTTTGCTCATTTAGGCCATTTTTGTACCAAATAAAAATAAAATGTAAAGTATTAGAATTCTTATATTTCCAATTGATATAAGAATCTCTACTATGGCTAGCAGACTCAACTTGGAATACTGTTCTCTTTGATTTCTTTTCAAAATGTCATTTTGTTAAGTGTAAATGATAAATTGGGAATAATTATTTTAGGTATTAACACACATCTAATGTGCCACAAATATTATTTTGATATGAAAAATCGATTTTATCACTCAGTATAAAAGTTTACTTTTTACTTAATTCTTTTTACGGGGATCAGTATATTAAAAATATATGAGTTTTATTCTTAAAATTAGAGTAAGAAAATGATTTTAGCAACAAAAAATAATCTGGCTGGGTCGGGTCATAAAATATGGGTCTCATAATTTCTACCTATATAGGGAGAAATTCAAAAATAGCCAAATTTACCACTGGTCGTTGAAAAATAGCCAAGTTTCAAAAGTCATCGAAATTTAGCCACTTTAAATTTGAGCGAAAACATTGTTCAAAATCCGGAAAAATACGCCCGTAAATTTTACGGGAGTTCCAGCATAAGTATGCTTAAACTCCCGTAAATTTTACGGGAATTCCAGGATAACTATGCTGGAACTCCCGCAAATTTTACGGGAGTTCCAGCAAGTATAATTGTCCAGTATAATATACTGGAGTTTGGAGCACTGGTGCTCCAGTCTCCCGCAAATTTTACAGAGTTAGCAAAGTATACCGGTTCGTACACAAATGCACCAGAACTCCCGTATATTATACTGGACCGATTCCTGTTGCAACAAAATAGTTGCTATTTAAAAACTGGCTATACCATGATATTTTAACTGCAATCTTGGCTTCTAAGTTTTGGATCTGGGGGCCTCGCTCAACGCGTTATTTGTCATCGATTGCAGTTTGGGATGTCCATTACTGACTCTTAGCACATACTACTATTACCTTTCCTTTCTCTCCGGCTTTCCAGAAAGGTAAATTTCTTTTTTAATCTTCCAGTAACTTCTCCGTATTGGCAAAATTTGATTCATTATTTTCATCTCTAGCCTATGATTTATCTGTGATCCACACATTTTCTGTTAATCTATAAGGCTTTATTTGGTTATACCGTTTTATGCACTTGCATTGTAGATGGTTTCATATTGTTAATTGCCTGTCTCCATTGGTTTCTATTTTGAGTATTGGTAATATGGCTAGACCTTCATTTTTCAAAAATGAAATGCAATTTAAACATAGGGATTTTTTGGGTTCCTTTTGTGCTCTTGAAACTTGTAAAACCTGCATCCTTTTGTGTAACAAGCGGTGATACAAACTCAGATATTTTGTATGTAGATTTAATTTGAAACGATCTGATGATAAAATTTGCTTGGAAAAATTAATTGTCGCCTCGGCTACAGTTGGCTTGAGCCAAAAGATTACTCTGTATGGGAATTATCTGAACCTGCTGAAACAGTTATTTTTTAGTTTTAGAGAGTTCTTGGACCATATATTAGCACCTATACTTTATGAGTATATGTTTGGATTGCATTTATGCAGAGCAGCCAGTTGCCTAAGAATATTTTTTTTGTTTTGGTTGGGGGTTTGGGGGGGGGGGGGGGTTCTGTGAATTTTCCTGATTCGATCAAGAAACTATCTATAGTGATTTTCCTGATGGCTATTGCTAGGAAGAGATAGAAGATGCTTGGAAAACACAAGCGCAATTGTTGTTGACATTTTGCGTGATGGCAGTGCAATAGTTTAGGTCTAAAGTCTCCTCAAAGGATTGAAGTGATCCCATGTTTAGCTAATGGGGAACAGCTCTGCTTCGCAATTTACACTTAGGAAGAGAAAATTTCTTCCTCATTTGTGTTGCTAGACACCCTGTTGATTTATTTAGGAAGTACTTCTTTGCTGAGAATTTTGGATATGCCTTCTACTTCATGAAACAAATTCTTCTGAATAGGAAGGAAGTGTGGAACTCCTATTGAAAGAAGTAAAGTAAAACTGAGAATTCTAAAAGTCAAAATCAATTTAATTCAGCACAAAGCATCCTTGTTTTTCATGTGTGGTAATTTGTACAGAGCCTGACATTGAGGTGTTGTTTGTAGGGCAGTATGTTTTGGAAATTTTAGAATTTGGTTCATATGGTTGAAGTGGTAATTGCATGTCAATGTTTTTAACTGCGCTCGTGTGAAACTAAGCCTTTATTAATGTTATTAATGTTTGCAGATCTTTATAAAAAAAGTGGTTATTGTTTGCAGATTTTTTTGAAAAATCCAAGTGCACAATTACTTCAAGTTTGCCTTTTTGCCAACCGGGCGTCCCAATTTAAAGTTGTACTGCACTATTTCAGTAAGGTAAGCATCTCAATTGTCTTCACAACCATATGAAAGCTGGCCTTAATTTGCGTTTTTGTGATGATACCAACGATTGCTGTAGGTAAAAGTTCATTCAACTGTTCAGCAATTTGCATGTTATTGGTTGTCATAACTTTACTTGGTTAAAGTCTCCGTCCGGCTCCTGCCTCACTTCCCATAATTCCTCCTATAATGTTGTAGACTTGTAGTATTATACCTGAATTTCTATACATGCTCTAAAGTTGTGCCGATGGTCTATCGGAAACAGTCTCTCTGCCCTTCCAGGGTAGGGGTAAGGCTGCGTACATCCTACCCTCCCCAGACACCACTTGTGGGATTGCACTGGGTTGTTGTTGCTCTAAAAGACTCGTTAAAATTTTCACCAATGCACATAAGTTTACATGATATTTGCTGTGGCATCGGAATAACCTCTAACAAAGAAAACATCCGGCTATACCGAATCACCAAAGCACCCTAGGCCGCTCCCCTGAAGACACATCCAACCTCCCACCCCACCAGCCACACCTGATCGATTCCCTAGTTCAGACTATAGCCTCTGTAATCTGTGCTTTTTTGTCTCTTGATGTAGAACACATCAGGGCATCATTTTTTCAACACGCCCTTATTGCCATTTTAAATTTCCATCAGCTCTTCTTGTAGACTCTCCACTACCCTGCATGTAAAGCGTCTCGATGGAATCTCAAATTGTCATATCCTAGGCTTAAGTGTATGTGTGATTGATTGTTGGCCTGCATGCAAAAGATTGGGTCCGGGTTCCAATCTTCCTTCTTTCATTACTTCTCTTAATCCTACTATTAAACTTAACCCTTAGTTGGGGGTGTTTAGAAGGTATGGTGAAGACTTGAAGCAGTGGTTAATAACTAATTTCCAGCTGTACTTTCACCTAAGGTACACTCAGTGCAGGATTTTAACTTCTCTACTGCTTATAGTTGCATAGCAAATTTACTAAACACTATGCTATCAATGTCTGAGATCGGACCCAGAGAGCTGCTATAACTCCTGGCCTCCAATCTATTAATGACCAAAAGGATTTTGCATATGTTGAGTTACTCACACTTGTATTGGGAAAACCCACCTGTATTGCAGAAATGTATGATAACCTTGGAGCACAGCCTGGAGTTCCAAGACCGCCTGCTAATACGCAGGCAAATCCTTTTGGAAATGCATTCTCTGGTGCTAGCTCTGGTTTCATCAGAGGTGGATTAGGGGCTTATGGAGAAAAAATCCTTGGATCTAGTTCTCAGTATGTTCAAAGCAATGTAAGTTTTTCAATGTAGTTTCTTTTATTTGTATAGGTTTTCTTTTAATAATTCTTATGTCAATAGTTGTTCATTAGGTGATGAAAAACGTATGTTAGGAATACATAATGACATAACAGTAGGCAAAGGAATATCGTTTCTGTGTAGGCAAAGGAAAATTGATTTCCTTTTCTTTTATTTATGCTTTTTATCTAGGTTATTCCACCACAATTTCATAGCTTCTTGTAAGATTTCAAAATTTGTCTTTAACTTTGATGACATCATTAAAATGACATTGTTACATGATACAGTTATGTAAGTTTGATTAGAACTTTGTATTGAATTTCAGACGTAAGGGGAGTTCTTTTGTCCATCACCATATAGTATAGTGAAACAAGGTGAAGAAATTCCCGTTCCTCCATAATGTGCAATTTATAGAATGGGTCGTATTATAAAATTGGCTTCCTCCTGAGAGAGAAAAAGTCATATCATCTTTGCTTAGGAGAAGAGAAATGGCTGGTTAAAGGTAGGGGTGTGCATTCGAATCGGTTTATCGATAAATCGAATCGATTATTTGTTATCGAAATCGAAATCAAAAAAATCGAAACCTTATTGAAACGATAACGATAAGCATATGTACAAATCGATAATCGATAAGGGTCAAAATCGAATCGATAAATCGAATGCTCACCCCTAGACTGTAGACACTTGTTAAATGAGCAATTACCTATTTGTGTAGATTAATATAACATACCGAATGTATATATATTCCGCTACTATTTTGAAAGCGGCTATACAATATTATTTTCCCTAATCTATAACCTTTCCTTTATCCTAAGTCCCTTACCCTATTATTTCCTCTACCACATTTAAGGAATGATCATATTTAAAGATCAAGGGAATGAAGTTCAAATTAATGTAAAACAGAATTAGCCGTGATGATGTGTTTTGTTTTGTTTTGTTTTTTTTATACCGTTGGAGTGTTGGTGGCATACATTTGATCCCTTACTTTAGTTTTGTCGCATGTGCTTGTTGACACAATTTTTATATTATAAATGGTGTTCGTCTTGTTTTAGCTTCTTTTTGTCCATATTAGTTAGGCGCGTTTATAGCGATATACTTTCCGTGGAATCCCGCAAATTTTCTTATTGGTGTAATCGATAATCGAATCGATAAGCCCCCAAAATCGATAAATCGAAATCAAAAAAATCGAAACCTTATTAAAACGATAACGATAAGCATATGTACAAATCGATAATCGATAAGTAATTATCAATAAGGGTCAAAATTGAATCGATAAATCAAATGCACACCCCTACCTGTATTTAGGCCTATCCACCTATCATAGAATCCCTGAAACCAATCCTAACAACATATTCATAGTCCAATTACGTAACATAGCATGAAAATAACACCAACCATAACCTCATAAGAATTATATCACTAAAAAGGGAATCTTAACAAGAATTGTACAAGTTGAACATAATTCATAGAAAGTAAGGTCATAAAATTCTTTCAAAACACAGCAACTTAGTTATACAAACAAATGAGGGTATTTCCTTTTCATTACTTCCTCGACCTCCCAGGTGGCTTCTTCAACCTGTTGGTTTCGCCATAGCACTTTTGTGGAGGCAATCTCTTTATTGCTCGACTATCGTACTTGCCTATCAAGAATGGAAATCGGAGTCTCCTCATAAGTTAATTCTTCATTAACCTCAATATTCTCTACCGCAACAATGAGCGTCGGGTTTCCAACTACCTTCTTCAACATAGATACATGAAACATCGGGTGCACCAACGATGTCTCTGGTGGTAGATCGAGCCTGTAAGACACCTGACCAATCCTCTGAATGATTTTGTATGACCCGATATACATGGGACTTAATTTCCCTTTCTTCCCAAATCGCATTAAACCCTTTATGGGGGGAAACCTTCAAGAATACGCAATCATCCTCTTTTAACTCCAGATCTCTACGACACACATCTGAATAGGACTTTTGGTGACTCTGAGCAGTCTTCAACCGTTCCTTAATGATCTTAACCTTCTCCATAGCCTGATTCATTAAGTCTGACCCTATCAACTCTGCTTCCCTGACTTCAAACCAACCAATGGGAGATCTATTTCTCCCGCCATATAACTCTTCGAATGGTGCCATTTGGATGCTAGAATGGTAGCTATTGTTGTAGGCAAATTCTATGAGCGGCAAATGATCATCCCGGCTACCCTTGAAGTCAAGAACATTAGCACGCAACATATCCTCGAGCGTTTGAATCTGCTCTGCATGCCCGTCGGTCTGTGGATGGAAGGTTGTACTAAGATTCACTTGAGTACCCAAATCTTGCTGAAATTTCTTCCAAAATTAGCTGTGAATTATGCCCCTCGATCTGCGATGATAGAAAATGGAGAGCCATGCAACCTGACTATTTCCTTGATATACAATTGGGCATACTGTTATGTTGTGTCGTTAGCCTTAATAGGTAAGAAGTGTGTTGATTTCGTGAGTCGATCCAAAATCACCCAAATCGAGTTGAACTTACAAGGCGTACGAGGTAGTCCCCCCCCCCCCATAAAGTCCATATTGATCATCTCCCACATCCACATTGGAATTTCTATGTTCTGTGCCAACCCACCGGGACTTTGGTGTTCGACCTTCACTTGTTGACAATTTGTACATCTTTCCACAGAGTCCGTTATACTCCTCTTCATGTCATTCTACCAGTAGACTTCCTTAAGATCATGGTACATATTTGTAGAGTCTGGGTGCACGGAATACCTAGAATTGTGAGCCTCGGTCATGATTCTTTCCCGGAGACCATCTACATTGGGAACACATAACCGCCCTTGGTACCTTAGCTTACTATCCTCCATGCCAAGAGAAAAATTTGGGGTCTTATGTTTATGTATCCCCTCATTCAACTGTTCCAACAGTGGATCATCGTACTACTTCTCCTTGACTTCCACTTCTCATCGTACAAGTGTAGCTCAGCCTATTTTGCACAATAACACCTACTTCACTAGAGTCCGCAAGACGAACTCCCTAACTAGCCAACCAGTGAACTTCTTTGGCCAACGGCCTTTGATGTGCCTCCAAGTGAGCCACACTACCCATGGATTTCTGGCTAAGACCATCCGCCACAACATTAGCCTTCCCCATATGATATTGGATATCGATGTCGTAGTCCTTGAGTAACTCAAGACATCTTCTCTGCCTCAAATTTAGTTCTCTCTATTTGAAGATATATTGATGGCTCTTATGGTCCGTCAATATATCCACATGGAGCCTACACAGATAATGATGCCAAATCTTCAATGCAAAAACCACCGTTGCAAGCTCTAAGTCATGTGTTGGATAGTTCTTCTCATTGTTCTTGAGTTGCCTAGAAGCATAAGCGATCACCTTACCATGTTGCATCAATACAAACCCAAGTATGACCTGGAAGCATCACAATATACCACAAACCCATTCTTACCCTCCGGTAAGGTTAACACTGGAGCCATAGTCGATCTTAACTTTAATTCTTGAAAGCTGTTTTCACAAGAGTCTAACTATTGGAACATAAATGCCTTCTGCTTCAAAGTCAATGGAGAGGCAAGAGTGGAGATCCCCTCCACAAGCATCTTGTAATACCCAACTAACCCTAAGAAACTGTGAATCTCTATTGGAGTTGTAGGTCTATGCCAATTCTTCACAGCTGCAATCTTCTGAGGATCAACCTTGATTACTTCACTGGAGACGACATAAACCAAGAATTTGATGAATTCAAGCAAAAACTCACACTTCGAAAGATTTGCATACAACTCGTGTTGATACAGAGTCTGCAGAACTACCCTGAGATAATCAGCATTGTCCTCCCAACTTAATGAATATACATGAATGTCATCAATAAACACTATCACAAAGGAGTCAAGAAAAGTCTTGAAGACTCTATTCATAAGATCCATGAAAGTTGTCGGGGCATTCGTTAGCCCAAAAGACATCACAAAAAATTCAAAGTGCCCATACAGGGTCCTGAAAGCTGTTTTAGGAATATCCTGCTCCCTGATCTTCAATTGGTGATATCCTGATCTTAGGTTGATCTTGGAGAAATACTTAGCACCCTACAATTGATCAAACAAGTCATCTATTCTTGGTTGTGGGTACTTATTCTTGATCGTGACCTTGTTAAGATACCGATAGTCAATAGACATTCTTAATGACCCATCTTTTTTCCTTACAAAGAGAACCGGTGCGCCCCAAGGCAACACACTCGGCCGGATGAAACCCTTTTCTAACAAGTCCTTCAATTGCTCCTTTATTTTTTTCAATTCTGTCGGCGCCATTCTGTAGGGTGGACTGGATATAGGCAACGTGTCTGGCATCACATCGATCCCAAATCAATCTCCCTGTCCGGTGGGATCCCAGGGAACTCATTAGGAAAGGCCTATGGAAATTTATTCACAACTGGCACAGACTCAAGTGTAGATGCCTTAGCATCGGTGTCCGTAACCAGGACCAAATAGTAAATACACCCCTTGTTAATCATCTTTGTAGCCTTAAGGTAAGAAAAAAAACTATCCTTTGGCACTACATCATTCCCCTTCCACTCAATGACTGGCTAATTTGGAAATTCAAACCTAACGGTTCTAGTTCGATAATCAAGCTTGTCAAAACATGAATAAAGCCAATCCACCCCCATTATCACATCAAAATCAACCATCCCTAATTCAATGAGATCGGCCATGGTGTCCTGACCATGCACAGTGACAACACAATCCCTATAAACCCGCACGACAATAATAGACTCGCCAACTGGAGTAGATATAGAGAACATCTCATGAAGCGGTCCCGGTTCTATAGATACAAAAATGTCTCATGAAGTTGTTCCGGTTCTATCTCGAATTTCATAGCAACATAGGGAGTGACATGTGACAAAGTGTAACCAGGATCTATGAGAGCATAAACATCATTATATTGGACAGTCAATATACATGTAACAACATCTGGAGAAACCTTTGAACTCTGGCTACCCCTTATAGAATAAAAATGGCTGGGACCTCCCGAACTT